CAATCATTATTTAAAATTACTTTAAATAATGAAGCGGGAGGAGAAGAAAGGACAGACTAAGAGTGGGGGGAGGTATTCTTGAGGTTATCCCGAGATGATTTCGGGGCTTTTTAGTGTTCCCCGCGGCCCGGTCCTCGACCAGGCCTCCACCCCCTAGGAAGCAGCCCGTGACAGCTGACTAACACCCAGGTACCTATTTTACTGCTAGGTAACAGGGGCATAGGGTGAAAAACTCTGCCCATTGTTTCTCGCCAGCGCCTGGGATCGAACCCAGGATCACAAGTCCAGCGTGCTGTCCGCTCGACTGACCGGCTCCCATAAAGGGAGGGGGGCATTAATATCAGATACTGTATTAACTTTAGGTACCCAAGAAATGAAAGGCTAAAAACATTGCGATGCCTACAACAACCCTGATTACTGGTCACCAGCCACCCACAGGACTGATGATCTGGGAACTAGGTTTGATTCTAATTGTATTGTCTAATAGCATGTAAACTAAGTCATAGAGTTTAATAGATTGGAAAGACCTGGGCATGGAGGGGGGTGGGCCGGCTTGGAGCGAGACATGAAAGTAGCGATGGGTGACGTAACAAGGGATTTTGATGTGGATTCAAAAAATATAACTTATTTAAAAATATTCTAAGCAAAGCACAGGAACATAGTATACAATCCAAATTTATTACCGAATAATGACCTAAAATGGATAACAATGGATCTGAAGAACTTATTAGGTAAAGAGCTTTGTACAAAAGGATTAAAAATGAACGAAATCAGTCTAAAACAAGACTTCGGCCAACTGGCTAGAAGAAAAAAAAAGGACAAGGCAAAAATAAATTATGAAGTTCATATAGCTAGGCAAGCAAAGACAAATCCTAATGGGTTTCTCCAGTTATACTGAACAAAGATGGGGGATAAGGGAAAGGATAGGAAAGGTTTGTGATCTTGAATACCATGACTTAAAGCTTTTGATACAGTACCACATGAAAGTGATTAAAAAGACAGACTCATGGTATTGGGGGTGATACAGTATATTAAGTTGGATTAGGGAATGGTTATACTAAAGGAAACAATTGCTGTAGTATAAATGGAGTTAGGTTAGAGTGGGAAAATAAGTTGAATGCCACAAGGCTCTGTCCTGGTACCTCTGTTATTCATAGTATACATAAATGATTTATTCTTGTTTGAGCAGCAATACAGTATTTGCAAATTTTGCCAACAATATGAAAATCAGGAGGGGAAATAAACATGGAAGAAGACTCGCTATCATTTCAACACAATCTAAATAGGGTCCTGAAATGGTCAAAAGACTGGCAAGTGCAGATGGTGTTGATAATGCGAAGTCGGATTGCGAAAGGGATCTGGGAGTTATGATTAGTAAGAATTTAAAGCCAAAAAATCAATGCATAAATGTTCGAAACAAGGTAAATAGGACACTGGTATTGATATCCTGAAGCATTAGTAATTTTTTGTCATTTTATTTATATATAGAAGAGTTCTTACATTCATGTAAAGACACTAGCATGCATAGCATTTTGGGCAGTCCCTTTATCCTAATTTTCCATAGAATATAACCCGACATAGTTTAACAAGGTACCCATTCACTGATGGGTAAACAGAAGCATACAGCTAAGAGTTGGTGTCTAATCAATCAATCCTTCCCGGTCAGGATATGAACCCAGGCCAAATCACTCGCGAAACACTGGGCTAGTGTTTTACCACTGCACCCCTGACTTAACACAAAAGAAGTGTTAAGCCTGCTGACACAAACATTGCTCTCTTCTGTCATGTTAGGAACTGTAATCATCCTATTGATTGGCCTTTTAAAATCTTTCCTGCCTCTATTCTTCACAAACACTGTCTTGTTGATTCAGCTCAGATACACAACACCCAACATGAACCTTAGTCCTGGCTTTCTTGCCGTTTATTTTTCCCCTTTTCCCTTTCACAGTACATACTCAAATGCTCTAACCTTTCTAACAAACTTTACCCGACATAAGCCTCCCTCTTTTTTATCTTTTTCTTTCTCTTATTCTTACTTTCCCATTTCTTACATCACCCTACTATCACCACCTATCAAATCCATACCACATTTTACTTCTTTTTCTTACCTTTTTGACTTGCTCTTTCCTTCTAGGAATTACCTACTCTCACCTGCTCCTAACCTCACTCTTGCCTTACTTATGCCCTGTGCTTCCCTACCATCACAATCTACTTTATAATGGTCCAGGACGGACCGAAACGTCATCGTCTCATCTTCTGGTATGTGGTTTAGTTCTCATCCATTCTAGTGTTATTTTATAGAATTGCATCTCAATTCACACCATACATTTTGCAATAAACCTTATCATTTTTAGTCCACTGGTAACACTATACCGTGACTAGAACGAGGACACACAAACTGAAGATAAACTATTTACAGACGTTAAAAAAAAATCTCTATTCTTAAATAAAGGGGTATGGATAGAAAGTTTAAGTTAGCTTCATACAGCTCTAAATGTAAGAAAAGCTAGTGAATAGTCCATGTATTAAACTACTAATGACCAAAATGCATGTCTTTAGAGCTAATGCTCAACCCGTAAACCACATCTTGTCTGTACTATTCGACACGTGCTATTCTAATATCCTATAGTAAAATCCCCTTCTGAGCATGTCAGTGTGACCTACCAGTTTTTTTTTTATAAGATTTACCAATACAGGTAGTCTTAATTTTATATGAAAAAGAACATTTTTAGTAAGGGGTGACAATCTCTTACAAAGCCAAAGTGCAAACCTGAGCAAAATATAAATTACTGAAACACTTTGTAGCTACTGATGAAAAACCAAATTTAATGATCTTTTGTAAAAAAATATAGTTATTATTTTCAACTTTTATTCACATCTGGCAAAACATATTGACCACTGGCTTAGCTTACCAGGTCAAAACAGAAAACCAATCATACCATTACTAAAAATGACATCTGAGGAAGTGATTAATAACTAATATTTTAGAAAAAAATACAGGATAAGAAAGTAGTCATTCCATATTATAATACTGTACTTCAAAAGTGTAGAATAGGCTTAAAATTTGCTATTATATACAGTATACTAGTTGTGTGTAAAGAAACAAATTCTAAACACAACAAAATCTATATACTATAGAGTGCAATCCAGTACTCTAGTTTTGCAATGTACAAACAAAATTTGTAAACAATGGCAAAAAAGTTAACACTTAATTGACATGAAATCCAGAAAAGAGTGATTAAAAGTACAATAATTAACCAATATGAACAATCACAACACATGTGCAATATACAAAAAATTGTAATTAATGTACTAAGAGCTGACCTTAAAACAGCAATTAAATTACCAAAGACCTACAGGAGATTTAGGAGATTTAAAGTGTGATGGGTTGAACCAAATTTAAGAGTGAATGCAAGAAATGGACACATGGAAATGCAAGAACACATTGTATGATGGGCTGTCAAACAACTATGTAGTGCTTTGGAAGGATATATAAAGGCAGGACATACACAAGAACTACAAAAAGACTAAGATGAATAAGAAAGGATTTATTCATCATTACAGAGCTTCAAAATCTTAATCCAGAAAAACACTTACTTTTGCATTGTATCACTTTAAACAAAGTTTTTAAAATTAAATGAAACTTTTTACTTAAATATTTTCTTTAATCAAAAAGAAAACTTATGGAACAGCTTATCAAAATACATAATTCAGTTTAATTCTGTGTATGAATTTAACAATAAAATTTAATCTTTAATTCCAAGGTGATACATTGTATTGCAAGCTTTCTATAAGTAAACAGCCTAATTTGGAGTTAATGGCTTATTGCTGCTTGAAAATTTTATAATACTTTGACATAATTCATAATTCGTAATTTGACATAATTCTTTGGTATAATTTTATTATACTTTAATATAATTCCAGACAGAGGAAACGAGCCATACATGACAGTGGAAGATCAGACATGGAAAAATATTGCCCAAGTCAGTGCAGGAACTAGCTCTGGAGCCTTTCAACAATTTATATGAACTGTAATTGTGTTTCCCCTGAAGCTGCAAATGGTATATAATGTGTACCTCTCAGAACTGTAATATATAAAAGCTGGAAACTTCTACCAGATTAGGTGTTAGGCATATGGCTAATCAAGGGAAATAGAGCAATAGCCTTAGGGAAAAACCTTAACTCACCAAAAATTCAAACTGGGCCAACAAAGGCAGCACAGTATACAAAGCAAATGCTTTCCATTTACATTTTGGGGCTAATGTGCCATTAAATTCCATTTAGCTCAGCAGTTTTTTTAAATGCGAGTAGCCATCTCACTACAGTACTAAATTTTTACTTCCCACAACAGAATGTGATTTTATGTCGATATTAATGGACAAAGTAACTTAATCTCAAGATTACCAACTTGATACTCAAGAAACCACATCAAAATACTGCACAATTCTAATAAAATACTGTACATTGTTACACTTAAAGTATCTATTACAGCTACAACCTCCAAAATACCAAAGATAATTATTAAATAAACAATTTCTAACTTTTCAATTTCTGAAACACTGAATACACATGCCAACATGAAAATGTTTAAAGAGGTAGAAATATAAAATACACTACTAGACAGAAAGTTCTAAATCCTTGAGAAAAAGCAGTGGAACAAATACTAAATCAACACCAGTTAGCTGTCATTTTAAACTCTTATTAATATAAAGGTAGGCCTAGAGTGACCCCGAGGGGGTCAAGAGGCCAGGGCTGGGGGCACAGGGGTCCTGGTGACCCATGGGGAGGTCGGGGGGAGACGGGGGGAAATGGTACTCATGACGAAACCAGCTTCAAGGTCCGCGCTCCACACACCGCCATTTCTCACTCCATCTTCATTTCTAAGCCCTCCTGACCACCCACACAACCCTCCACCACCCCAACAGCCTCCCACACCACCCACGAGGTCAGGGGCAGCGAGGGAGTACCCCAAACAAGGCCAACAGATGACATTAACCTACCTCTCCATTGGTGATGTTAATCCCCAGGTAAATATCACCGAAGCTTCCACTCCCTATTTTCCGTACCAGGCGGTACTTTCCACCCACCACGAACTCTCTGCAGCCTATAATTCCAGACGACATGGTGTCTGTGTCTTTAGGATAAGGAATATTCCAATTGCAAGGCTAGAAGGCTAAATAACTCCGTAGTTTCTCATTGGGAAGACCAACTCCTTTCACGTCCAAGATGAACTGATCGTTTGCTGGCAGGAAAGCAAACCCAACCAAAATATTCACTGTTTACTTTGTTTTTCTCCACTTTTCTCCCCGTTTTGGGCCCTTAATGTGTATTTCCCATGCAGAATACACAAGCTCAGCCTTTATTGTGGCTCGCGTCGCGTAGAAATGTGTGAAATCAATGAGACATGGCTCTATTTGGTTGGTACGAGTGCTATTTCTCTCTTTCCGCAAGTATAAGGAAAATGGCGACTAGTGGCCGGGTAGCCCTTGTGTAGGAGAATCCAAGCCTGCCCGCGATCAGCTGGTCAACCAACACCACTCCCGACACCTTCCTCACTGCTTCTGACAGGATCCAATGGTTTTATTCTCAATGAAAACACAAAGGTGTACTGTGTTCGCTTTCACCTCTCTCGGCGGGCTATTTAAATACAAGGGGGTCATATATATTGTTTCTCAAATTATGAAATCATATGAACGTTTTATTCGGATTTGGAAGTCTAAGGGACAGGTGTTCTAAATAAACTTTCCAACAGGATGATACACTTCGGTTGATTCGCTCCAGAAAGGCGCTTTAAGGGTATTTTCTTCGTGGTAGATTGCAGTGAGTGGTGCAGTGTTTGGTGAATTTATCTCTACGTCATATGTGCGCATCGCTTCTCTTCCCGTCATCTACCAATGATCTCTCACAACCTAATCTGCATCACGCTTTAACTAATACTTGGTTTGCAAGATAAATATTTTTGTTTGTGAACGATTGATACTTTTACATTGCTCCATATATATATTGCATTCGTATTGAATCAATATGTTGCAATCTGCACCTGTAGACACATTACGTAAAAATTACTTTGTCATCCCAAGCCTCTTTAAAACGTCTATATTAATCTGAATGCCCATACAAATGTACTAATTTACTCTGTTATTATTTTTTTTAGTTTAGTTCATTAATTATGCACCCCATAACCACTGTATGGGCGGTAGTGGAAAAGGTTACAGAAGCACATAATAGGCTCAGGGACTGAACCCCAAAATTCATTACGCTAGGCAAGTTATAGTCTTGTACAAATTTTAGTGTACATGGTTATATTAACAATTAATGGGTTCGAGACCGACCACAAGTATTGTCTCCAAGGTAAACAACTAACATATGTGGTGAGCCAGTTTCATAGTTGATATGTTTATTCTGAAAGGTTAGTCACCCACATTTACCACCTACAGTGGGCAAACTAGGAATATTTGGTTAAAATTTCTGGCTGCAAGTCATTTTTAATGAAATATTTACACATTTCTTGAATACTTATTATAGAGTTGCCTCTAAATTCACGTACTTTTCGCACTCCATCACATAGTGACGGAACGTGTGCGACTAATTTTTTTGACACAGTTTACATTTGGTCACGTCTACATCGGCAGGCACTGCAACTTCCCAGAGATACTTATAGCCGAGACTAAGCCAAGTATGGTGGTAACATCTTGGAGTCTGTTGATTTTATAGGATGTTCCATAGATGTGTGGATCATTTTACATGATAGTGTGATGATAGATGGAATTAATAGTATACTTTCACTTTGCCTCAGATTTACAAGGTATCGTTTCAGTTCTTCGTGCATTATTGTTCTCAGACTACCACGACTCTTGATCACATCTGGATTAACATAACCTCTCCGTTTATCTCAGGGATAATCATTGATAGGACCTCAGACCATTACCCCTCATTTCTCCTAACTAACATTAACAAACCACCTATAGATACAAGGAAGATAAGCTTTAGGCTGCACAATGAAACTTCTATAGGCAATTATATAACTGCTGCTGCTAATATCAACTGGGAGTCTGAATTAGGTAACAGAGGGACATCAACCTAGCAGTGCAATCTTTTCTTCAAAAAACTCTCAGCCTTTAAAATACCCACTGTCCTATGCTAACGAAACAAGTCTAAAAGGCTAAACAATCCTTGGCTAACAAAGGGGATACTTAAATCTATTAATAAAAAACATGACCTTGAGAAGAAGTATAGGTTAGGAATCGTCTCCAAAGAATTTTCAAAGAATTACTCATCAGTGCTATCTAAAATAATTAGGAGAAGCAAAATTAAATACTACGAAAATAAATTTACCCAAATAAACGGTAACATGAACAAAACATGGAGCACTATTTCACAAATATTGAGATCAAAAAATATTTTAAATAAAAAAACAATACTCCAGTCCAATAATGATGGTTTGCTTTCAGCCTCTGATACTGCTATTGAATTCAATAGGTTCTTCTCATCCATTGGGTCATCTCTTGCTAATGATATTGCATCCTCCCGTACTAATGTTCAGGACTACCTTACAGGTAACTATCCACAGTCTCTGTACCTAACGCCTGCTAATTCCACTGATGTTAAAGATAATCATTTCCTTTAAAACTAAATTTAGTGCTCTTGCGGAGATACCAACTCTAATTTAAAAAAAAAAACTCCAGATTTGTAGCTCCTGCCATTGCATTGCTCTACAACAAGTCACTTGAACTCCAAACCTTTCCAGATATTTCTGAAAAAAAAGCGAGAGTAACCCCAGTCCATAAATGTGGTGATTTCACTAGAGGAGCCACACATCTATGCTTCATCCAATAAAATCAGCAGACTTCTAGATGTTACTACTGACTCTTAGGCTTAGACTCGGTTACAAGTATCTCTGGGAATTCTCATTATCTGCCGATGTAGATCTGACCAAATGTAAACTGTGTCAACAAAATTATTCGCACACCCTCCATCACTATGTGATGGAGTGCGAAAAGGTACGTGAATTCAGAGACAATTCTATAACCAATGTAGCAACGATGTGTGAATATTTCATTCAAAATGATCTGCTACCAGAAATTTTAGCCAAATATCCCCAGTTTGCTAACTGTAGGTAGTAACTAAGTGATTGTAACCTATCCACCGCTGCCCACTGGATGGGGGGCGGTGTGCAGGACAAACATATCAATTGTGACACTAGCTCTCCACATATGTCAGTTGCTTAATTTAGAAACTGTACTTGTGGTCGATCTCGAACCCATTGTTGATGTGACGACTTATACTGAATTTTGTAACTAGTTCATCAAGATTGTAACTTGCTTAGCTAAATGAATTGTGGGGTTCAGTCCCTGAGCCCATTATGTGCCTCTGTAACCCTTTCCACTACCGCCCACAAGCTGGGTATGCTGTGCATAATAAATGAACTAAACTAACTCCGTGGTGCGGTGTAGGGAACCACCAGTGTATATGGTTTGAGAGAGAGAATGCTCTGTGGAGAGAGCATCAATATGGCTTAAGGCGTTGAGCTTTGCCTCAAGACGAAGCTTGGGCTGATCTCTAATTTGCTTTTTGGGTGGAAAGAAAGGGATTAAAACTGGAAAGGGTGTAACCTCCCACGGTGCAGGAAAGTGCCGTTGTTGTCTCTCTTGGTACAAATTGTAAATCTGATACATTCTGAGTTCAGTTCCAGTTTTAGAGAGAGAGAGAGAGAGAGAGAGAGAGAGAGAGAGAGAGAGAAGGGTTGGAGGATGTAGGTGCTGATGTGGGTGCTTAGTCAGGGTTAGTATTCATAAAGCACTTGCATGATTGCAAGGAGCATACGTCAGGCTGCGAGCAGCCGCGTCCAACAGCCTGGTTGATCAGTCCAGCAACCAGGAGGCCTGGTCGACGACCGGGCCGCGGGGACGCTAAGCCCTGGAAGCACCTCAAGGTAACCTCAAGGTATGACTTACGAAACGCTTTTTACCTCAATCATGGCGATTTACTCTGCTTTACTAAACAGTTTACGAATTCCAAGGAGGTACGATGTCCTCCACAGTCCAAAAATCCTTGAAGACAACCTCGTTGCGCATCGAGAAAAAAGAAGCAGTGAACTCGTAAATCCTTGATGAATCATGATCCAAGGTACACAAGGAACTTTCGCTTATCTCTTAACCAATATTAACAAAAGAATTTGTTTTATGTAAAGACTTTTTCAACCGCCGTTCTCCGTAATTTGTCTCTCATTTTTCCCGCCTCACATCCAGCACGGAGATAAGTCCCCGTGATGGAGCTCGGCTGGCTCCGTGACGTCCCGCGGGGCCCGCCACGCTTGCCTGGTGCCTGCCTATTACCAACTCCGGGATTGATTGATTGATAGAGATTAAATCACCCAAGAGGTGGCAAGGGCATGAATAGCCCGCAAGACTCCGGGAAGTAAAATCTAGCGCCTTATTTTATTTATTTATTTATTTATTTTATTTTATTTATATATATACAAGAAGGTACATTGGGTTTGTGAGAATACATTGGATAGTACAGTATATACATTCTTGTAAAGCCACTAGTACGCACAGCGTTTCGGGCAGGTCCTTAATCTAGCAGATAATTTTAAGTAGGTAATTTCAATCAGAATTGATAAATGATAAAGATACATTACAAGAGAAAAATGAGATGAGAGAGATAAGTAGGTATATTAAAGCATATTGTTATATTAAAGCTCTGATTGATTACATTGACAGCTTGATTAGTAATTTAAACAAGGTTTATAGACACCATACAGCAGATTGACAGGACATATAAGACAGCAATGATCACAATGGTAAAGATGTTCAGATTGGGTACATAAAGATTGGGAGACTGGGTAGCAAAAGATACAGATAAACAAGATTTATAAACACCATACAACAGATTAGCAGCACATATAAGAAAACAGCAATGATCACAATGGTAAAGATGTACAAATTGGGAACATAAAGATTGGGAGATTGGGTAGCAATTGATACAGTGCAATTTTAAGGCAAAAAGTGAAAACTATGAAGATGAAATTAGGTACTTTTTAGTATTGATTTTGAATGATGTAAAAGTTGGACAGCTTTTCAATTCAGTAGGGAGTGAGTTCCATAAACTGGGTCCCTTTATTTGCATAGAGTGTTTACACAGATTAAGTTTAACTCTGGGGATATCAAAGAGATATTTATTTCTGGTGTGGTGATAATGGGTCCTATTACATCTGTCCAAGAAGAGTTTCAGACAAGGATTTGCATTTAAGAACAGGGTTTTGTAAATGTAGTTGACACAAGAGAATTTGTGGAGTGAGATTATGTTTAGCATGTTTAGGGAATTAAACAAGGGGGCTGAGTGTTGTCTGAAAGCAGAATTTGATATTATTCTGATAGCAGATTTTTGCTGGGTGATGATGCTCTTTGCTTGGCCTTATGCTCGGCCTCCTAGCCGTTTATACCTGGTCCGCTAATTACGTCTCTCAGAATTAAAGTTTTCAACATTTGTTTTCATTAAATTATGGATGAAAGTGACTTCGACAATCTCTTCATCAATGCATTGAAGT